CGACACTCAGAGTTGCGCAGCGTTCTTTTGCAGTTCCCGTGCGCCGGGTCTAGCGCCGCAGTCTTCCCAGAGGCTTCCTGGAACCCCCACTTCTGGCTATCATCCCGCGTTTGCGAAGTCCGCAAAAACATTGGTTGAGAAGTGGCGCGTTGAGCAAATCCACCAAATTTCGCCAATGCTGCAATGGTAAGCGAATTGCCAGAGCACTCTGTTATGAGAATTATGTTGGTCACCCTGGCCGGCACATTCGGCAAAACCACCAAAACATCGGCTTTGATAGATGCGTTAAGCAATCCCCCAAAACGGCGGCAAGCGAATGCTGTGCTGATCGTGTCTATGCAGGTTTTCGCAGGTGAATTGCCGGAATACGCTGTTGCGCGAGTTTGTTTTGGCCGCTCTGCGTGTGTCTCATGGCATCTTTAGTTCGTTGACTTGTTCTTGCTATCTGGGGTCTATGCTCGTATGATCCGTTTCCATGTAAAGCCAAACAAAATCCCGCCAAAAAAAGACATCGCCACACATGCTTCATGGCGCAGGCCCCTTGACTTGGCAGTGGCTTTCCAGTGCGAGCACTGTGTGGTTTCCTTGCTCCACGTGTCCAATGCCTCGGAGGCGGATGCGCCAGAGGGGTCCCTAAGAGCCCGGTTTTTTTGTGCGGTCGCCATTTGTTGTTCTGATCAAAGTTAAACAGGGTGTCGCAGTTTTTGCTTCAAGCAGCACGTTCAAACTGGGGGCACGATATTGAAACAAACCCAGGCCCATCTTTGCTCTTGAATTGAGGTCCGCAAGTGGTGATTTCCTCTTTTTTGCCCTTGTAAGCTCAAAGGAGTGCACGTGCAATGGGTGCCAAACATCTCGCATGCCTAAGTTCTCGCATTGGTGTAGAGAGGATCGCATGCCTTCCGTGCAAAGACCGTGTCAGATAACACTGAGATGCATTTTGAGCCAAAATGAGACAAGAAACAAGGATAACCTGTGGATCTAAAGTTGGTCCATTGAGCCGTCACCGAAGGAGTTGAGAGTGGACAAGATGTAAGAGAATATGTTGCTGAAGGAAAGGACACAAAGTAGGAAGCAAATGCAAAACGCTTGTGGCTCCTACTTTGTTTTGCTGGAAGAAGGTTGCAGACCTGCATTTCATGTCCAGCAACAACAAACTGTACCAGAAGCCTTGCACTTTCGTTGCGCGTGCATGTTTGGGACCGCAGTTTGAACCCCTCCCACCCATGTTTGAGATATGAACCGTTTGCAAGGTCCAACGATTATGAGCGTGCATCCCCCCACTCCTTCACCCATATTGTCCTTTTGAGAAGCCACTCAAACTCACATGGTTCGGAACAATGTTCTGAACAATCCAACCTGGGAGAGCCAGATGGGTTTGTCACCAGGTTGTCATCGACAACATTACCAGCATAGCCTCGCTTCCGTCGCTGCGACTTCTGCCGAATGCCACGCGCGCAGTGCGCTGCCCCAGTTGGAACAACGCTACCAGCGGTGATCGGCGGGATGTGTCCTCCTACGAGTTGCTGAAAGGGGTGGCTGAGAGCAAGTCGCGATTTGCTCAAGCAGATTAGCCTCCATGACTTGGAGTCTTCGGGGCTGGCTCTAAAACTTTTGGTCACCCATCTAGGAGGCCTTTAGTGATTCGCTGCCCCTTGAAAACCAAACACAGCGTCCAAGAATTGCAGTCCTGTCTCCAAAGCGAAGCCTGTGACTCGTTGCCTGCAAAGCGGTCTCGAAGAGATGTCTCACCATCGTGCCAATGGCAACAAAGTCGTTCGAGCCGTTGCCCGGGCCCAGGCTCCGAGCGATCTCGGACCGTCTTGCTAGATCCACATGGTTCTCAAAATGGGCATGTTTCCGTTCCACTTTTGAACAGGCCCCAAAAAGGGTATCCTCAATAATGCACACCAAAAAGGCACATACAAATCAATTTGGGAAAACTAGTAATTTTGACCGTGGCTTACATGGACCCATGTAGGGGGTAAATGGGAAACCAACCCCGCAACTGGACCGCAAGGGCAAATGTGGGCAGCTGCCAGTTGGAGGCTCTGGGCAGATGAGGAACAGGCTTTCAGGGCCATGAGGGGCCCCTTGCAAATCAGCTGATGTTTGGAATTCCTTTGGCAGACCCAAGCGGGGTCAACTTTAGGGAGTCCCTACATCTTTTGCGGAAGAGCCGCGTGTTTCGCCCTTCAAAGGGTTGTGTTCTGTAAGTTTCCCTCCAAACTCAAAAAACGTATCCCCAGGGGACATCTTCGTGCCGGACCATTCAAGAGATGCGGAATGGTTGCGGACGCGGTCCCAGGGTTCTGACCCGCTTGTTTTCTCCTTCGGCCTCTGTGCTTTCCTCAAAGGCGACGGAAGGTAAGCCTGAGGCACTCGCAGCGACCGTGTGCGGCCTCAGTTGTTCATATCCGTGGTTTGGCCCGAGACCACATTGGCCACCTTACTGCTCACAAGCCGGTGTCACAGACGCTTTCAACCACACAGCTCGCAGGTTGACATGCGTCCATCCATTCTGCTCAAATGGCGAACTCATCTAGGGGTGATGACTTCCATTTGCTTATTGAAAAGATGGTCTATCACTGGTGGATGTTTTGTTCCAGGGGGCTTAAGCAAATGGAAGATGAAGTTTCTTCACGGATTATTGTTCTTCCACTTTGAGTATTATGCTAAATTGCCGCAAAGAACAAGTCTTTTGGGCTTGCCATAGTATAGCTCGAATGTATGATTTTTTACTGATGGTGTCTTTTAAAAGTGTTTCCCTACATTGGCTACTTACAGAGGTTTTGCATAGGACAGCAACAAGTAGCTTTTGCGATAAGGAGTTTTCCTGGCCGATTGGAACGTTTGGGCGGCTTGCGCGTCATGGATCAGTTCCATCAGCACCTGGTGGCCTTGACTGCGGAGTACGAGCGCCTGGCGGCGGAGAACGCGCAGCTGCGGAGCGAGCCGCTGTTTCAGCTCAGGTCCCAAGCATTCGGAAAGGCGGGGAGATGGTCAGAGTGTTCATGTGGTTTCTGGAAAGTGCTTTTGGTGGTAAGGTTCTTGAAGCGATCCATCGATGTCTAAACTCAAGCGCCCCCAGCGCCCCCAGCGCCCCAAGCGCTACCCCGTCGCTTTCGGCTTTCGCTAGGACCTGCCGGAGGCGCCAGTGGCGCCGGTGACGCCCGTGAAGCCCTTCCACGCCTTCGAGCTCCCGGCGGTGCCAGAGGACGAAGCGACCGCGCGACGCGACGCGACGCGACGCGAAGCCAAACGGGGATGGGGCGTGAAATGGCGCAATGTTGTTGAATCCTCAGACCCGAAGGAAATACAAAATTGGGATCTTCGGACCTCGGAGAGTTTCCTGCAAACTTCCCCTTTGCATGCAGAAACGCAAAATTCGGATCTTCGGACCCCAGGGAATTTCCTGCAACTTTCCCCTTTGCATGCAGAAACACAAAATTGGGATCTTCGCACTCCAGGGAATTTCCTGCGACTTTCCCCTTAGCATCCAGATTTTCGGACAGGAGTTTCCTTGTGGCTTTGCGTCCAGAAATAGAGCGCGCGACTGGGGATTGGGAAGCCAGAAGAAGGACCCCGACTGATTATTCGGTCAGCAAACTGAACACAAAAAGGGACCATCCAGATTTGTCGCAAAACGTCTTAAGTGGACGCCCCTCACCTCGTCCAATCAGTGCTTGCAGAACCCCGCTTTAGAACTTTTAAAAGGTCCGGGGTGCTTGTCAAGGGTCACCATATTTACCCTTTGGAAATCAGTGCTCAGTGTTATCTCTAAGAAGGATGGGTATAAATTAGCGGCCACACTCACAGCAACAGGTCCATTTACCCAACGTCCCTCCTATCAAAGAGGGACACCCTTCCACACAGTTGTGAATCCCATGAGAACCCGAAAACTAGTCAGAAAAAGGTTTGCAGGATCAATGGGGCAACTGAAAGCCCATGAGGAGGTCCACCCGCAGAGTCAGAAGATACCCAGACGCTCAGCAGATCTGAGGGGCTTCGAGTGGGGTTCGCGGGCTCTCGGTGGGTTGGGGTGAGTTTTTGTTTGTTTGTGCGCAGGTTTTGGTGTTTTCTGGAGTGTGGAGATCGGGTTTTCCATTGTTTTTTTTGTTGGAATCACTTGGGATGTGTTTAACATCAACCCATGATGTTTCATGCATACACTTGCCAGGCTTGAGCACACGTGTTCCACGCACCCCATGATCTTCAAGGTTGTCAAGCTTCAAGACCTCGCTCCTCTTTTTGCTTTAAATGAGGCCGCGGACATTTCGGGCGGGTCACCAGGTCGTAAAATCCTTCCTTTGCCAGTCACCAGGTCCCGAGCCCAAGGACAAGCTAGAGAGAAAGGCGCAGGCGGTGGCTCGACTCAAACCAGAAAGGCGATTTCTGGGGTTGAGCCCACCAAAGATGTTGGGAAGCATGTTTTGGGGGTCGCCATTGTTGAGAAGCTTCGCTTGGAAGTTGACTGGGTTTCGTTTTATTCTGGTCTTTCTTCAGCCCACAGGCTTACCAGTTGTTTACTTGTCACCGTCTGTTTGGGATGTTTGGTTCAGTTTTTGGGCGAAAGGGCTGGGGTTTGTCAATCACAATGACCCAACGACTTTGGCTCTGAGGCAATAGAAAGAAACTAAAGGGTGACGGTATGGAGGTGGGCACGGATTTCCCAGCCAGCGGGGGCGTTTTTCTTCTGTTTGCCAGACCCCTTTACTTGGCATCCAGCGCTCTCCATTCGGCCAGCCTGCAAGTCGCAGATCACGAAAAGGTTGTACAAAGGCCAAAGCTGCAAGTTTGGCCAGACGCAAGGTGCAACACTTAGGTGCTCAATGGATGCTGACTGATGTTTGTTGAGTGTATGGTGCATGTTGCTTGATTCATGCATGGTGCAAGGTGCATAGTGTGTTGTGGGTACACATGGTGCGCATCGGGGATTTCTTCTGTGAGTGTTTACGTGTTTACTGTATTGCTGTTCGCTTTTTGGCCAATCTGGAATCTGGAGGTCGCTAAATTAACCATGCAGCAAAAGCAAGACAAGGCATCCACCATGCATCTCCGCTCTTGTTTGTGGGGCTCGAATAAAACTAGAGCCTGGATCAGCACGCGCAGACCTCTTTGCAGCGGATTTGCTCTTTGCTGGTTTGAGGAGTCACCTCCCTCCCCCGCCCCCCAATAAAAAAATGAAAGAAGTCAACATCACAGGTGTGTCTTTTTTGGGCGGTACTTTTTTTGTTCTTTCTCGCGTCCCCTTTTTGTGGGTCCCGGAAAAAAGACGGTCACCGGTGCTACTTTTTTTTGTTCCGCAAGGCCCGGGGTCTGGACGAAGAGGCGTCCACGGAGGAGACGTCCACTTTCCTGCTGCTGCTGGACATGGTGCCGGCGCTGGTGATTTTGCTCTCCGCCGCGGTGGCGGGGCTTTCTGCAGACATCGCGCCGGAACACGAGGAGCGAAAAAAAATTACTTTAGGCAACGGGGAGCCACTCTTGAAAAAAGGTGGGGGGTGTTTATGTTTGGTTCCCCACAAAGTTAATCTAATTACAGTATTTGTGGTTTTGGGGCCTTGGGGGGGGGGTAATAGGAAGTGAACCATGGCGATACCGCCATGGCTTGATTTGGTGAAGAGGTACCCCACAAAACCATCCTAGTTGTTAGTTGTTAGGATCCTCTTTAGGTTACAGGGCAAAGCACCAGCGAGCACTTGGGAGTTGCCTTTCGTCAGTTTGAATCCTTCACACATAAACCTGCGAAACCTGCAAAACCTTAAGCTCCCGGCTTGGCCTGAACCATGACGAATAGGGCGCCCCTTTCATTGGGTTGAGCTCACCATGCCAGAAGAGTTGCCTTTTTGTGGGCGTTTGTCAGTTGCTTTGAAGTGTGAAAGTAAACGCCAGCAGAAGTGCTTTCTGAAATGCGCTTTCCTTGATGGTTCTCAGAGAATCACATCCGTTTGGGAATCCGTTTGGGATGGTTTCAATATTTGGATACCACGGGCGATGCCCTACACGACTTTCGGCATTGTGAGGAGTTGCGCTTTCCTGGGTGCCCAATCACCCAGACTTGGTTTGTGATTATCGGAAATCGACCGAGGGGTTGGGTTTGTTTCTTCCAGCCCCCCGATTTCTTTGACGCCGAGTTTTTCAGGTCTGGAAGATCTTTGAGATCATGTTCACGGTCTTCTTCATCGGCGAGGCTGTTGTGAAGGTGAAGGTCTTCGGCTGGAAGGAATATGCCTGCGGCGCGGACTGGTATTGGAGTTGGTCCCTGGGTTGCAGTTACGACCTTTGTCAAACTCTTGGACCTGAGGAAGCATCACTCTTTCTTGGTGGTTCCCAGCCGTCCGGTTCCTGACGTTTTTGCCGAGGTTTGACTAAGAGTGAAACTTTTGGCAGGGGATCCGAGGACAGCCCAGATTTGTCTAAAATGCATTTTTCCCTACTATCGAGCAGTGTTTAGGGAGGGTCACCCACAAAACTCCGCCCGGTTTCCCAAACTAATCCCTACAGGTCATCCGCACCAAGTTACACCTTTTGATTTTTTGGGTCGTATTTTTGCTATAGGCTAGGTCCCCCCTTTTACCTTTTGTTTGGGGAGGGTTCCCCTACTAAAATAGACTGCAGAAAAAAAAAGTCGGGTACCAACTTATTCTAACCTCTCAAATTTGGAGGACCTAGTAGGGAAAAACCGGGGCGGGGGGGGGGGCGGCACCAAGTTACACCTTTTGATCTATAGTTAGGTTTTTTGTTACAGCGAAACCCGGGGGGTGGGGGGTGTAACTGTTTCTGGGCATTTTTCTGGGGCGTCTTTTTCTGGGTGAGGTTCGACATCCTCTGCATCCTCCTGGCGCTCTTCGACATGGGGGTCACTTACCTGGGTCCTCTGACCTCCGAGGATGGCGCGGGGGCGGACACCGGCGCCATGGGCTCCTTGAAGATGCTGAAGCTGGCGCGGCTCGGGCGCATCATCCGCCTGCTGAAGTTCAAGATCTTCCAGGCGCCATATAAAAAAGAAGCCTCGACTCGTCGACACGAATGAGTGGTTCTTGCTTTTCTCAGTTTTTCTCCAACTTCTCACTTGCCCTTTAGTCAAGGGGCCAAGAGGTGAACCTTTTATTCCCAGGTCCTTCGGGCAATTGAGACTTCCAGTTGCTTTTCCCCTGCTGGTTTTAAAGGGAATCGATTTCACTACTGTACATATTGTTATTTTGCCAGGGGATTTAATCAAATGGAGCTGGCAAGGAATCCTTGAAACAGCGAAGGAGTCTCGTTTTGTCTTTCGAACTAGTAGTTAGTTGTGGTTTCCTGAACAGCTTCCTGAAGTCACCTACACAGCGAAGGAGTTTTTGTTGGAACTCTAACCGGTGGTGAGGTGATTTCCTGAACAGATTGCTGAAGTCACCTAGACTACCGCTTTTTGATCCAAGGTCTTCCTTTGCCCAAGGTGAACACACAAATGAAAAGGGGGCACCCAGAATCAGAGGTTGGTTGGGGCCTTGTCCCAACCGAAGCCTTCCGCAAGTGTTTTCGCGGCTTGAACAATGCGAACCTTTACGAGATATCTTTGTTGATCCGGTGCTCAAAAAGCTGCCCCAGTTGCTTTTGAAAGGTGGGAAAGGCACCCGGAGGTACAAACCAGCCGCCCCAAACCTCCACCTTTTGCCTCTCGGCAGGGGGATGGTTGAATTGATCTCTCCGGTAGAGAGTCCCCTGTCGAGGAGCTGAAGCTGATGATCCAAGGAGTGTTCACTGGGCTGCGGGTGCTGTTTTGGGCAGACGCTCAGACAGCCAGAAGCCGACCTCTTGGTTCATTTCGGTCCTTTGATTCTCTAGCATAAGAAAGAGGGACAAACCTGACTTTCATGCTGATTCTGACACATATGTGCAAGGGTCAAAACACGTTATGTAGAGGTCTTCATTGCGGCCGCCGTGACATAACTGTTTTTTGAAAAACATGTGTGTAGCGACAGGGGGCCTTGAGTAGCGACACCCCTGTTTAGGGCTTGCATGTATGTAAGTCCCCATGGAACATGTTTGTAAGTACCTTTTTACTTGCATGGGAACGGAAGTACGTGCTGAACACATCGTGGAAGTCTAAGTCCCGGCTGCGACGCAAGACAGGTTTGAAGGATCTCGTCTTGGCAGTTTGAGCCAGTTTAAGAGGTGCTCCGTCGCCTTGGCGGGGACAGGCGACGATGCAAGCAAAAAAGAGGCACTGTGCTTTTGAAGTAGGGTTCCGGCAGCCCCTGGGAAAAAATCCGGCACCCGTAGCGACACCCAAAGCGACACCTTTCAGATTATGGAGCGACACCCAAAATCCCTTCAGGTAGGCAGTTGCCCCTTCGCGTACTACACTTGTACTACAAAGTTGCGATTTTCAAGCTGGGGCTGCAGACGTGTACTTCGCGTGCTACACTTGTACTACAAAGCTGCGATTTTCAAGCTGGGGCTGCGGACGTGTACTTTGAGTGCTACACTTGTACTACAAAGCTAGGAGCATGTCCTTGACGTAGAGGAGCCGGCGGGAAGTGACCGTCCCGTGTGTCGAGCAAGCACTACCATCTCTTCCGCAGTAGCCCATGGGGAAAAGGCATGAAACGAAGGAGGTTGAGGCAAGCCTCATGTACTACTTTGGTGCTGAAAAGCTGAGACCTTCCAGCCGAGGTGCGAGAAATGAGCTGGCGCTGTGTGTAGCGACAGGGGGCCTTGAAGAGCGACACCCCAGCCAGCCATGACAGCCAACCACAACACATGTTTTGACCGCCGCACATATGTTTTCCAGTTTCTTTTTCTTTTTGTTAAGGGGAAGCCAATGTTGAGAACCGACAGATGGTCGAGAAAAGCCACAACAGGAAACTGTTGCCACTTTTGGCTCACTTTTGGTTTTTGGTGACTTCCCTTTTGATCAGGTGGATTCTGACCCATACTTTTCCAGGTACCTATTTTCGAGGTTCAAAACTCCTGCCAGAGTTGATGTGTCCCAAAGCGACCCAGCTGCTGGTGAACCAAATTTGGTTTCGGCCCCCCCCCCTTGAAGTTGAAACCACACCTCGTTTTTTTTGGGGGGGGTTTAAGTTGAAACCACACTTTCTTTGGGAATTGTGTTTCCACCCCCCCTTTTAAGTTGAAACCTTTTTGGGCGGGACATTTTTGTCGACCTCCGAATCGGAGCAGCGAGGTGGTGCTGCTGGTGAGTTGCATGTACCTCTTGGGGGTGGTGACTCGCACTTTGTTCTCCCAGCACGAGGAGTTCGGCTCTGTGCCTGCAGCCGCTCTGGTTTTGCTTTCGCGCATGGAACATGGGGCCGGGGCTTTTGGCCGGGGTTGGGTGAAGTTGAAATGGGCGGGGTTGGTTTGTTGGGGGGTGCTTTTTTTGTTTTGTTTTTGCAGGGGTCTGGAAGATGTTGGGGTGACATGTGTTGTTTTCCTCGCGCCCCTTCGAAACCCAAGGAGCGCCCCTTCGTTTTTCTCCCATGAACGTGCACTGGTCCAGGTCTTTGAGGGTATCCTCTTTGGGGGTGATTCAATGGGTGGGGACATGGTTTGACTTTGGGCTTTCCTCGAACCCGGCCCGAAACAGCGTTCACTCCGACAAAGTGACCTTGAAGAGAAGCCAGGGAAGCCAAAAGAAGAGCTAGACCTTTCAGGTTAAAAGGGAACAAGAGTGACAACCGAAGTTTATGTCCGAGCTTCCCCAAGCCCAAGGGTTTTGGTTTTGAGTGGCCACAGGTCGATGTTTTTTCGCCTTCGGGGAACGCAACTGGAGTTGATTCTTGAGGGGGCTTGTCTCCAGATTTCCCCGGAAAAAAAAATCCATGGAATGGATGGGACGCAAAATTGGAGATGGTTTCGCATCTGTCCAAATCTCGGATCACATTCCCGTTGAAAGAGATCTCCTTCAAGAGCAGTTGAAAGGAGAACTCCTGGCCACCCGTGTGGTTGTTTACACTTCAAGCACATGGAAGGGGTGACGTTGACCCCTGGAATTCAACTATTTGATTCGCCCGGTCGTGAGAAAGGCTCGAATGGATTTGGATATGCCCAAAGCCTCCTAACTAGTGCAATGTGTTGGTGGGATTTGGTGGGAGATGAAATGACCCTTGGCAAATCCTGTCAAAAAAGAAAACACCAAAGTTATGTTTCCGTTAGTGTTGTTTGAATGGTCATCCATGCGATCACACGCCAAGTGGAGCATAGTAGAGGTTTTGGAGAAAGGATGTGTCAAAATAGGGAGACCTCTTAAAACCGTGTTGTTCCTTTTGAAGTTCACTGAATCCAATCTGAAAAGGGTAAACCTAAAATCACACACACCCAAATGCCCTTCGCTGTTCTTGATTTGTGCGTTGTTTTGTTGCCTTTGTTGGGCTGCTTCATGAGAGCCTTTACAAGCCCAAGGTTTTCCGTAAACAATGACACCGATTCCCTGGCCATCACAGCAATGAGGCTTGATATAACCACAGGTTCTTGTTCATTCCGGCGTTGCATGATCTAAGTTGGGCCAACCATCATTAGGGGGTTGAACCTGAGGTTCCCCCAGAACGGCCAAGGGCGGATAGTACCCACTCGTTGAAAGGCAATGGTGACTGGGCGGACAGCATGCCCTTCTTTCAGTGGCACCGGAAAGCAAGTCTTTGCCTTCTTTTTTGTTTGGCACATCTGGGGCCTTAAAGAGATGTAATCATGTACGCGAGCAAACTGGCATTCGGGAATTTGGGGCTGACCCAAATTATCATGGGAATAAAAGTTGAGTTCTGTGGGCTTTGAATGGAGCCATGGGTCTTCGTTTGCTAAGTGCGTAACGCCCCAGACTCCAGAGCTCGTGGATCCAAAGTCACGAGCGAAAGAAGGAATCGCTTTGAAATCCGTTGATTGGAGATGTGTCTTGTTTTTGGCGCAAGTGGCCCCCGCAATCCGCAATTTCGCCGCCTCAGGCGAAAGCAAATCCCACGGCGCCCATGCATTTTTGGGATTTCGCAACCCCCGGCTTGGGATTTCGGAAGATTTCCTCACCAAAAAAAAAAGCAAAACCGAGAAAAAACAACTATCTGCCACGGAAATCTTCGCACATCCTCTTGAGGGCAGGTACGGGACCCACCTCTGTTCTCGCTGGGATTCTTTCTGAGGCTTCCCCCCTCCCAAAAGCAAGAGCAGGAACGGAATGTCCTTGGAGAAAAGGACCCCCCGCCCGTTTCCTTTTCTTTTAGGGGCAAAAGGGCCCTCTTTGAGTTTCTGTTCGGGGAGTCTCTCATTGCTCAGGCCATGTTCACCTCCTTCCGCTGCTTCACAGACGGCTGCGCTGCTTTCGACGGCACGCCCCTGCAGGACTTAGGTCGGGGGGCAGGTTTAGTATGCAATACGTTCACCAGAGGCCCCAAGAAAAAGGGGACGTAAAAAAGGAGCTTGTCGTGAATAGTTTGGCGGTTAAACTACGCAGGCCTATCAGGACTTAGGTTTCGAAAGGCGCCGGAAGCAGAGTCGGGATCCAACCAAATGCGGCACAATCCCCTTAGCTCATGTCTCAGGAGAGGCTGCGGAAGGACTTCGGGGGGGTCTTCATGTTCGCTTACATCCTGCTGTTCCTTTTCGTGACCATCGGCATTTTCAACCTGATCATGGCTCCTCGCCGCAGAAAGTGGAAGGAACCGTGGGTTCTTGCGCAAACCACCAGCAGGGCAAATATGAGGAGATATACTGAATCAGCCCAAAGCAAATTAGCTTCAATGTTGGGCCTTGAAATGTCACCGTGAAGAACCAAGCGCTGAAAGCCGTCCTTCTAGTTGCTCTTCAAGCTTCTTAGAGGAGCACTCACACCCAAATCCTATTTTCTTCTTCTTTGACTGGTGTTCGGTTGGTACCCTATGGATGTTGCCAAAAAGTGTAGGTTGGACAGCTATTGGTACCCTAGCTGGTACCTAAATTCGACATCTAGTTGGCACCCCAGTTGAATTGGTCTAGTTGGACGTTCGGTAATGAAAGGTGAGAAATCCCCACTAAAACCAGGGAAAATCCTCCCCCCCATGTGAATAATAGGTTTCTTAATTTCAACCGATTCCTCGTGTTCGTCGCATCGAGCGCTCAGGCGGTGTTCATCGACAACGTGGCGGACGGCAGCACCAAGAAGCGGCAACGCCAGCTGGGTCAAACCGCCCCGAAGACCGAGTGGACCATCGCTTCCACCCTCCGTGGCTTCAGATGAATGCGGTTTGGGTCGGGTCAAACCGGGGGTCGGCGGCGGGGGCGGGTTTTGGGGGGGGAGGTTCTGAGTGGTTGCCCTTCCCACTTTCAAGGGAGACCTAATGTTAGGTTGAAGATGAGGGTTGCCTTAGAAGGGATTCCAGGCGGGGGGGGAGGGTCCAAAACTGCGTTTAAGCAAGTGTGGGGTGTCAGGGCTGGATCCACCAAATGCTTCAGGAGGACGAAAGTGTTGCCCTCTTAGAACTGTGTCACAAAGAAGAACAAACACACGCTGCGGGTCAATGTGGTCAGATTTGCAGTTGCATTTTGCGTAGCATGGTCAATTCTCAGCCTGGTTTACGGGTAGAATATCAAAACGGCTTGTGAGCTCTGACGGCCCCGGCGTGCTCTATCGCTGGAAGGATTCTAAGGGGAAGGATGTGAACATTGTTGTCCAGCGAGCGAACACGGCAAACTTTTGTCCTGGTGATGTATGGACCAGAATCTCAAGTTACGTGTTTCAGTTGGGGGGCAAAAGCAGGTGAACAGAGTCCGTTTAAGAATCCGGATCAGGGCGAACCATGTGACCACATGCCTCCCCTTAGGCTTCAACATGTTCGGTTGAGGGAGAGAGGCATTAGGTCTCATTTTGAGACAAATTCGTATCTTGGTCCCTTGTCCTGGGGGAGGCCCAATGGTACACGGACGTGTGGAAGTCGCTGCCGCTTTATGTTTGCATTTGCGTGCCATGGGGATTCCAACTTGGGAAAGTCGTAGCCGCTTGCGTTACCGTAGGGGTTTGGAATTGAGTGTTTTCAATGGCGTTGAAATTGGGTGCGGAGCAGTTTCGCGTGGATGTTGTGGGCTGTGATTTGCGTTCCGTAGCCATGGGCCGTTGGGATTTGCGCGCGTGTTCTTTGTTGCCTTTGTGCCTTTGCCCCCTTGTCTGCTGTGCTTCTGCAGCTGTTGCTGCTGTTGCTGCTGCTGGGCCGTAAATTCAGAAGGTCTCGTCAGGGGTCTCGTCCGAAAGGACCCTGCAGCTTCCATGCGAGTTGGCTCCTTTCCAACTTGGCAGACGTTTGCTTAAATTTACCTGGGACTTGTGTTCCATGCGTCTTTGTCACTTTTGCGGCAATCTTGGGGGAGTGTTGTTGCATACTGCGTTTCCATGGGGGTTGCTTTCTTTCCGGGGCTGAAAAGCTAAGCGTTTTTCTGTGGCAGTGACTTGCGTTCCACTGTGTTTTGCAACTTGGCGGATTCTTGGCAACATATTTTCCGTGTGAGTTCCACGCAGATAAATTTTGGCGGTGACTTTTTGACTTCGTGGATGGACTGCGTTCCATGCGGGGTAAGCTCGCCACACACAAGTGAGCAGCGTTTTCTTCTCAGATGATGGATTTCAGCTTCGTGGGGAACTCCCAAAAAGGTCCGCGAATGCACTTGTGTGATACATTGTGTGCCGCGAATCCCCGCGAAGCAGCCCAGCAACATTGACACAGGCGAAGCCACTTTGCGAAGCCACTTCGTGGTTGGAGTGCGTTATGTGCTTTCATGGCAAGTGTGTTGTGTGCTTTCATGGCAGTAGCATGCCGCAGGCTGATGTTTAGAGTCAGAAGGCCACGGCCAGACTGCAGATTGCAGGAAGACGACCGGAAGAGCACGCTGCTAGATCGAACGTTTTTCGCGAAGCCTCTGCGAAGCCCCGAAGCCTCCGCGAAGCCATCGCGGTCCAACTTCCATGCCCCTTGGAGGCCCAGCTAGGTCCCCTAGTGCTGAAGCTCCATGTCTCTCTTACCTCCTGTCATCGCCCCATTTCGCATGGACTCAACTTAATTCAACTACATGAGAGCGCAAACGTCAGAGATGTTTGTGGAACAAGCATCCGCGAAGCCCGGCGAAGCCACTCCGCGAAGCCACAGTCTCGCCACGAAGCCTGAAGCCAACCCTTCCACGAATTCCGGCCCGCGAAGCCGCGTAGCCTCCCCACCAGTGTATAAGCCCTGAACCTCTGAAAAACAGTGCTCAAGTGGCGGTGACTTCGCCGATTCTGTGGATATGAGGGTATGGCGCAAAATTATCTCAGAGCAAAGCACGGCAAGAAAAATCCTTGAATCAAGGAAGGCCAGGGTTGGCCAGGATTTACATTCTGAGCTGGCAGGGCGCGCAAAATACCGTTGTTCCATGAAGTTGCTTTGTTGAGGGAGCTTGTCGCCCCACTAACCAAAGCGGTTCACGTCCCACCCCGGTAGCTCAAAAACACGCACCAAGCTGCACCCTGGCAAATGGAACCAAAGGCGGACTCCTGCGAAACCCGAGACCTAAGGACACATCATCCTCTGCGACGTCCTTCGCAAGGAGGCCGAAGAACAGAAGGAAGGCGGCCGGAGGGTGTCCAAGCTGCTGAATGAACAGCTGATGAGCCTCCAGGAGATGTGCCCGGGTTTCTGTTTGGTGGGTGGGTGTGTTTTGATGCTACGTTTTTTCCTTTGTTGGCTTAAAGGGACCAAAAGGAAAACTTTGTTTTGGTGTGGGGGGGGGTCCTTTTTTGGCACATTCCCATGTGGCCTCAGTCTGAGGATGTACAACTTCAGATAAACCGCGTAATTGAAGATTAATTTTGTTTTAGAGGCGTGTCTGCGCCTAGACTTGTGCCGTTCTTTGGTGTTTTTGTTTGCGCACGACCCACCCAAGCGAACTGCTTGACGCGTCCAAATCGGGCACGAAGGTCGCCGGTTGCAAGTGTCTGGATTGGATCCTTCATGGCAGTGGTTTCCCTCGAGTCCCAGGGATAGCGGAGAATTGGGGATCCCGAAACGACCCGTACCCTCTTTCCAACAATCATGGTGGTTTGCCTGCGGTTCCTTTAAGCCATCCTCAAAAGAGTACCCATAACATGCAACAGCCAGGTCACCATTCAAGGCCTGCACAGTCATGGAAGTGGATCTTAGCCGTTTCAAGAGAGCGGTCATCTTCCAAAACCCTTCGATTGCTTCCGACGCAGCTCCCAGACTGACAATGCCATTTCCAGACACCCACCGAAACCAGGGTCGGGTTCCTCAAACGGCCTTGCTCAAAATCCATGTTACAGTGGCGTCCGTCGGAGAACCCAGGAATCTATCCCCATATTCTGAACTACCCAGCTATATCCTTGGTGGCTCCGTGGCTCCCCTTCGTTTCCCTTTATGACCAAGCCATAGAATAGAGGCTTGGAAGAAGGATGTGCCTATAGGTGAGATTTCTAGATGAGACGGTAACCAGCCAAGAAGAGAGAAATGGCTGGTGAGTGCGGGAATGAAGGAGATGACGAAGGAATCCCATCTCCCATTCCCACTCCTCTCTTCGTTCGGGAGTAGGGAGAGAATGGGCGAAAGAGATCCCATTCACTCTGAAACCAACGTGGTGAAACGTCCGGACTGGTGCCAGCGCGGCGCCAAAATCACCCGGGCTCCCGATTCTCGATCTTTCGGAACCCCGAAAGTTCCCATTGCTTTCTTGGGTTTCTTTTCAACATGGCTGTGGCTCAAAAAAACCGGAATTCCAAAATGGGTTGCCCTGGTAAGTGGACACATGGACCAAAACCTGCGGTTTGCCCCTCCTGTTTAATTTTGAGCCACACCCACATCTGTAAAACAGTTTCCATTCACTTACCTCTTAAAAACACAACTTTTCAACTTTTTGGGTAACATGGGGTATATGTCTGTAAAAGACTCACTTCCCCAGGGCTTGGAGTTTTAAGGGGTAAGTTCAACATCTTAAAAACAACGTGTTTTGACGGGCTCCATCAAAAACCAGACCCAGGTACGGGTACCGACCCCACACCACAGCGGAGTACGCTCAGCTCACCGACGAGATCCGGCAGCAGATGTCGGAGAAGAATATCGTGGTGACCAAGGAATCGCTCGAATCGGCCGTTTTGGGGGTGTCTGTTGTTAAGGTTGGACCCCCCCCCCTCAAGTAAAAAAGATGTTCTTTTGGTTTTCCTTTTGGTTTCCCTTTGAAACCACAACAACGGGGACTCAAATGAGGTTTTCGCCTGCTTTGGGCGAACAAGGCCGTTAGTGGTTGGGTTACACCTGATGTGTGGGGGTGCCCACACGTTTGGGCGGTTCCTTTTGAGGCAGGACACATGTCTTTCAGGTTTCGTAAAGGACTGTGACTGATTTCAGGATGAGTTCAATCACTGGCTGGCAACGGAGAAAGACCTCATCGACAAGTTGGACGAGTCCGAGATCGACATGAGCTGCAAGTCTGACTTGTTCGATGTCCTTGACGCCGACCTCAGCGGGGAGCTGGAGTTTGAGGAAATGGCAACCACGCCAAAAAGTGGCATACGATTTGGGTGTTTGTTTTTGGAGGCTCGCTGCCTTTTGGGGCGTGTTTTAAAGGAGGCCAACATGAAACCACAGATTGTGCAGGCTTTTCATATACTGAGACAATCCCACAAGAAGGTTTTGTAGATTCCCTTTTTTCATGAATGCCTGTGGGGCTGATGAATCCTTAAGATAAGAACAAAAAGGGTTCCAAACCCTGCTTTGCCCAAGATCAAAAGGAGCAAGCTACACAAAGAACACACAAACGCAGACCACAACAAACACAGACGATCGCAATTGCATTTGTTTGCCCCGTTTGATTCAGAAGACCCCATGAAAAACCCCACGGACAAAAACCAAACCGAACCGCTGGCCTTCGACGGGCGCTGAATTCATTTTCTCGCTCGCCCGGCCGAATTTTCCAGGTAGATGGGCTGCTGAAATGTCGAGGCCCCGCGTCCAAGACGGACATCATCGCGGTTCGCCTGAAGACCGCCCTGCTGGTGCGCATGCTCAACAAGGTGCTCTGAAGAAACTTGAGAGGGCGGTAGGCTCTCCAGAATTGAGAGAGGGCGGTCTTTCAAGGGTTTGCCTCCTTAAGAAGGGTTGTGTATATATTTTGCTAGAAATCCGACTTGGGAGTTGTCAAAATACACAAACACCTAAAATAAGGGTATTTTGCAAAACATGAACTGGGACAACCAAAAGAGACAGAGAAAAGTTAGTCCCCTACAAGATATTGGCAGCCGGGCGGGGGACTAGGTGTTTTTTTTCATGTATAGGAATAAGTTATGTTGTCCGCTTCTATGAGCCACTTCCTCAAAACAGGGTAGATGACTCATGATGAAGAACCATCCTGAGGTCTGCGAAAAGTTGGGCATCGACGACCCGTGAGAGACCCGCTGCGACCCGCTGTCCTGAATTTCCTGAATTCCATACCCGGGTCTTTACCTGCTTGACGTTGCCGGCCGTGTTTGTTGTTTCGTTTGTTCTTTCCTGATTGCTGTTGTTGTTTACTGTACGTATTTATTTTAGCTATGTTTGGCTGCTCTTGTACTCCCAAGTCTGGGGCATGTTTCGATTTCATGCAACGATCGCCGAGCTTTTTCCAGGGCGGCGCCGTAGATGTGCCGAAGCCCTGAACGGGACGATCCAATAGATGGCTGTGTGTCGACGGGTGAAACGAACGTAATCCCGATGATTGTGTTTCGAGGGTCTTGAAACAATCACTTTTGTGAAGGGTCAGGATCCTCCATTGGAGGGGCGGCTGCATTGGAGGGGTCAGGAGCCTTTGGGCAGTACACGTGGGAATCAACCAGCAAAAGAAGGCAGCATTTAAGTCTCCTTTCGGACAAGGACGGACAGTTTCACACAATTCAGGGAGGAGGGGTCCATTAGCCCGTTTTGACGCACACCCAGATTGGGGACCCTGTTTTTCGAGCCCAACCTGTTTGTGCTGACCTCGTTTATACTTCTTGGGTCCACAAAACAGGTTGGGTCGAGAGAAGACTGGGTCCCCAGATTGCACCTCGGAATTCATTTGCAAGACCGCAGATCGCATTCCCCTTTTATCATCGGCACATATCGGCACCAGCAGCACCCAAAGCACTCGCCCAACACAAAAGCCCTTCAGAAGTTGACCAAGTCTCCTGCAAACTCACATACAAATCTCTTGGGCTTGGACCCGACATTTTGGGGTGCCAACTTGAAGTGGGTGGTCAAAAATAGGTACCCAGAATGGCTTGCCCTGGGAAATGGAAAAGACTAAAACCTGCGGTCCATATCCTGATGGTTTAGTTTTGACCCATACCCAAGTGACCAATCAAGTTTGGGCGCTGCCGGGCTGTGGACCGAAACTGGTCGAATTGCAGGGAAGAGGAAACTCGAGGTGAATCATCCACTTCCGGAGCCAGGGGGGCAGGTTGGGAAACCTGGCTTCCATGCAGAACTCTTGCCCCAGCTTCAAGTGAGTGAGACACTAGGCTGATCATTTTTGTTTTTGCCCAGTACCGCAGTGGCAGTTCCCACATCCCTGATGTCTTGCGGGGTTTTGGCCGAGTCAAAGCTCCCACAGCGCGGGCTGTTTGCTGGCAGCGGCTCCCGGGAGACACCGTCAGCCATGGAAAAGACGTGCCACTGGGGGGTGTTACGGTCTTCCATTGGCTCAGAAGGTTGTCAATTCCCATTGCACAAACAGCAATGGAACCAGCAATCGCCGAAACAATATCACCAAAAGAAGAAGCAAAAGTGAGGAGAAGCAATATTTTAAAGAGACTTAAACGACGTCGTAGACTAGAACGGTCGTGCCGAACAAGCATTGAAGCATCAAATGCAGCGGCGACGGCAGCGGCGCGGCGAGACTAGCAACATTGGTGGCCTTAATGCTAAGGTGACAAGAGCAGGAACAGATGCAGCGCCGGCACAAGCACGCCCACGCATACATGATGTCGTATGTTGTTGGTTTCAAAACAGTACCACAAAAGCACCCTTCAAACTTTCGGGAACAGGTTGTGCCCCTCCTCTCACACGGTGTTCAACCTTTGCGAGGGTCTGTTCGACCACCCCAGCTCGAAGTAATTGGGTCCCCGAATTGGGGAGGTCACTGACCAGAAATGGCAGGGAAAGAGGGAAAGGAAAAGGAACCAATGAAAGGAAAAGGAACGAATGAGAAGTCGAACATCCAAATAGGGAACCCCTCCATTGCTTTTCAGGAAACCAAAAGGATAGCTGGGGTTGGTTAGACCGTATGATGACGGGATGTCAGACAGAAAAGGTCTTCTAGAAAGAGGTAATTGGTGGTCAGAGGTCCTAACTCATAGCCAAAACCCAATGCCCCAACAAAGAAAGGGGTGTGCTTTTCATCCCATGACTGTTTTTTTGTGCCATGAGGGCTGGGCATGTTGTCAAATGGGTGAGCCTGTGTTTTGGGCTCTCTACAGTCCTTCGACATGCGCGGTAGGCCATGTAGGCTCGATGGATCAAAATAAACTGCTGGGAGCGGAGTGGGTTAGCCCCTAATCAGGCTTGTCAAGTATCTTTCTCACCCTCAGCTGCTCTTTAGGGGCAGCAGGGTCTCCCAAATATAAGTGTAGAGATTTAAAAAGACAAAAAGCGGCCTCCTGAACCCTTTTGAGTCAGCAAGGAGCTGGAGTTGTAATGAATGCATCCAAGAGGCGCTTGGGTGTTTTTGGGAGACTACCTTTTGGTTGGTTTTGAAGGGAGACCAGCTCGAAACCGTGAGGGGAGGGGAACCGTTATTTCGGCTGGTGTTGGCGCACCGTCCTTTCCATTGGGTCCCATTTGGGCTCGAGTGCACGCTATCACTACTCCCGCCGGTCATGTACAATAGTACATCGGATGGGACGGATAGCTGCACATTTGGTCCTCCTGCGCAAGGGCGAAGCTGAGGGCAAGCTGGAGGCGAGGGCATGGCCAGTGACCATTCTAGGGGACACTTCCATTTCCATTCTTTCTAGGGATCCGAATCTTTCCAGAAAACCAGCAGAACCCCAAGAGGGATCCGAATCTTTCCAGAAAACCAGCAGAACCCCAAGAGGGATCCGAATCTTTCCAGAAAACCAGCAGAACCCCAAGAGGGATCCGAATCTTTCCAGAAAACCAGCAGAACCCCAAGAGGGATCCGAATCTTTCCAGAAAACCAGCAGAACCCCAAGAGGGATCCGAATCTTTCCAGAAAACCAGCAGAACCCCAAGAGGGATCCGAATCTTTCCAGAAAACCAGCAGAACCCCAAGAGGGATCCGAATCTTTCCAGAAAACCAGCAGAACCCCAAGAGGGATCCGAATCTTTCCAGAAAACCAGCAGAACCCCAGGAGGGATCCGAATCTTTCCAGAAAACCAGCAGAACCCCAAGAGGGATCCGAATCTTTCCAGAAAACCAGCAGAACCCCAAGAGGGATCCGAATCTTTCCAGACAACCAGCAGAACCCCAGGAGGGATCCGAATCTTTCCAGAAAACCAGCAGAACCCCAAGAGGGATCCGAATCTTTCCAGAAAACCAGCAGAACCCCAGGAGGGATCCGAATCTTTCCAGACAACCAGCAGAACCCCAGGAGGGATCCGAATCTTTCCAGAAAAGCAGCAGAACCCCAAGAGGGATCCGAATCTTTCCAGACAACCAGCAGAACCCCAGGAGGGATCCGAATCTTTCCAGAAAACCAGCAGAACCCCAAGAGGGATCCGAATCTTGCCAGAAAACCAGCAGAACCCCAGGAGGGATCTGAATCTTTCCAGAAAACCATCAGAACCCCAAATACAGCGGATCCGGTTTTGGAGAAGAACGATTGAAAAGAATGGTTGGATCAACCCCTAGAACCATGCGAGCCGTGGCTAAAACGTCAGATCGAAACCCGACGGTCTTTGGTCTGTGGTTTCTTTTGGCCCAATGGCCGAAGTTCAAGCATTGGTGTTCTAAATCCTTTTTTTCTTGGATATGTTCCCCTTGATTGTAGCTGGGTCTCGTATTTTTTCAGGGTACACTGAATATCAAACACAATCTGAACATATGTTTGTGCACTTTTTGCACCCCACATGTGACACGCCGCAATGCTTTGGGCAAACTCCACGGGCTTTCTCCCAAATGGTTTCGTCTTGCCAAGCTGGTCAATCCACAAGGCGTCGTATTGCACTGCTGTGGGGCAACCTCAAATATGGAACAGACCGATGGCCTGATAGGTACCAAGCCAATGTTTGTTGCAGCAATATCATGTTAGTTTCCGTTTAGGGGGGGGCATGATTTCTTGGATCAAGCAGCCAATGTTTGTTGCGACAGTTCCGGTTCCTTTTACCCATGGATTCGAATCCAGGTACTGCTGCAGAAGCGGAGCAAGAAGGTGGTGCAGCCAGGCAGGGTTGGCCCGTACCAAGCGATTCGGTCGGCTGTTTAAAACCAAAAGGGTCTAGTGCAAACGAACCACCGCCATTTTTTGGAAACCCCAAAAAAATGGCGCTGGTTCAACAGCTTGGTGTGCATGGGGCTTGTTGAGACTACTGGCCGAATGAGACACCGACTGAATCCAGGTACCTTCAGCTTCCCTGGGGGCTCCTTGACCCGCGAGGAGGCGCATGAGCAGAGTTTCGAGGGGCTGAAAGGGCATGGCGCAGGCTGAAACAGGGCTCCTTAAGAGAAATGTTCGTGTTGCGTCACCAGTTGAAACATGCGGCTTTTTCCACACCCAAATAAAGTTGGAAACCACCGTTTTGTTTTTTTTTACAAGTTGCAAGGTTCGGGTGTATAATGCATCCGGATCCCTGTCAAAGCAAACACTTGAGCCGTCCCATCCAATCCCATCCAGGCGAGAAATGGAAGGGGATATAGGGAACAATGTCCCCTATTGCTTGGAGAGGGACACCCAAAACACAAGAAACAATGAACTGGGACAAAGGAGCACACCACAATATTTTCAAAAGCTTTGAACAAGGGTTAGCCATGTTTTGAGAGATCCCTGTACAGAGAGACCTTTTGCCTGCAGCGGCATGGGCAACTCTGAGGGGGGCACCACGCGCATTGGGTTTTACAAGTGCAGTTGTTGTGGTGCGTTGCGTTTTGGACCAACTGCCACAGGGCCTGATGTGCTTTCCTCTTGAAGAAGCAAAGAGCATAGAGAGCTTCGCCTTTCCGGCAAACAGATTAACAGATTGGGCTTGGCGTTGACTCCACGAAGTGGGATGGTCTCTTTGGCAGGGGCCCACTTTTGGTGGCTTTTCAAGGGCAGCCAAGCGCCATTTTGGGGGGTGCTTCCCATAAGGGAAGCACCAAATGGGAGTCTCTTTTAGGGTACCCTCCAAAAGAGACAGACCCCCAAAAAACAACAAAAAAATAACGAGAAAAACAAAACAAGAAAACAGCCCCCCCCCAAAAAAAAAGAGAAAAGAAACAGAAACAAGTTGTTGCGTTGCCCTTGTTTGCCAAAACTTTTCCGCCTTGGCGCAGGTGCGCCTCGGGGAGGACGGCTCCGTGTTCCAGGCCTCGCGCTTGCGCGCGGCCGTGCGGGAGGCC